TCCTCGGACGTTACACTTTGAAAATAGGCGGTTCCCGACGGAGTAAGACGCAAAAGTCCGTTTATTTGGTGCGTTTTACCTGTTCGAGAAAGTCAATGGTTTTTTACTGGTTATTAATTTGTTAATACCCCGCCGGGTGTTGTTAACTTGGCGATGCGAGCATGCTAACCTGAATTTGGGCTGGCGGTGAGCACGGATTCTGTAATAAAAAACAATGTAAATAAACAATAGATTCACGTGTGTAGACTTGACTGAAGGAGAAAAAAAAAAAAAAATTTATTTGGGGGTCGTTGTCTGACCTGTTTGAAAGCTCCATAAATCTTTGGAGACACCGAGCATGGGCATACGTGAATTGGCAGAAATCGAAAAGTTATAATCCAACGATACATAATAAGTAGATCCCGGTCGATTAAAGGAGCTGCCTAGCGTGTTTAAAACCAACATGCTGCTATCGGATTTATTAAGGTAGCAATACGCCGAATTTCCCGAATACGTTTCCCTAAGAATATCGCTTGAATTCGTGCCACCCTTCATATATATGGACACGTTGTTCACCGAAGGTAATATGGGAATGTCGAACTGTATAGAAATGAGGTTTGTTCCGACACTGATCGTTCCGTTGATTGACGGGGACGTGCTCAAGACATTTGGATTATTATAGCCGTGGTCTATAAATTTTCGATGATCGTTAGAAAAAACAGTCCATAAAGATGAGTGCTCATCTCAGGCATACCTTCGTTGGCGAAATTCGACAATTCTATGGAAATTAAATCCCATGCCGAAGAGGTGGCGTAATCTCTCACCGCCACAACAGCCGTATTATTTTGGAAAACCCCGTATATTTGTGCGGTCGATTCCGCGTTAAGACTTGGTAGACCCCACGTCACATTTTGGCCTTGACCATCAAACAGATATCCGTTGACCACACTCGAACTGTCCTGGGTGACAAATAGATAACCTGAAAATTTATTTATTTATTTATTCATTTTCTTTTAATTGTTAGACCTCTGGTGCATTCAAGCGTTGACCGATGATTGAGTGTGAAGAATACTTGCCACCCGAAAAAAGCGGCTCCATGTATGTATAGGCGGCATCTGCAATGTTTAACACCCAACTCGAACTCTGATTAGTTGACCTGTGCGTAAATAATAATAATTAATCATCATAATAATAAAATTTTCATTTTATCATGGCGGACATTGCAAAAAGTCATGCTTCGGGACTCGTGAACAAATGATAATTACCCGGACTGGAGGAACGAGAACTCTACTCCATATCGCGAGGCGACACCATTTTGACTTACAGTGGCATCCACAAAACAGACCTGTCCCCGACTATTGTAATCTACGGCACAAGAGATAGCGTTTATGTCTAAATACGACATTGAACTATTGTACACTAGATGGGGGTCTGATACTGTCCCGGTGACAGGCTGGATAAATATCGCGTATACCTCCAATTGCATGGAATTGTTGATGTCGGCCATAATGATCCCATATCCACCGTCTATAGTATGGAAAGGACGTCGGTATGCGCCATCACCGAAACCTGATAGAGAAACGTTTCCCCGGTTCGCCAAGTTCAATTTTCCTTGTGCATCCCTAATTGAGAACAAGTGTGAACGTTATTTCAGATCACATGACCGAAACACTGTAAGAGTGGAACTCACGGTGCGTTGTAGAAATGCCATTCGACCTCGCCGGATCCGACTAACTCCGAATAGAACATCCCGCCTTGAGGATTAAATTTAGATATCTCGATTCTTTCGGGATACGCTAATACGGTGTTGTTCACATAACCTGCGCCAATGTAATTATTCCTTTACAGGATTAGAGTCGGTGAGGAACAATAGGTTAATAATCAGGTTTAACCCTATTCTTTTTGTTTGAAGAAAATTATTATTCTGTGCCTACCAAAGAATGCTTCCGTTGAATGAAACTGTCAGTCCGTATGTCGAAGGGTTCTGTGTTGTGTCCGAGGT